ACATTGGTGGTGGTGGAGGGGAGTCCCCATTACCTGTAAAGCGCTTTGAGTGGAGTGTCCAGAAAAGTGCTATATAAGTGTAAGCAATTATTATTATTATCATTATTATTAAATATACTGAATGCACAGTTTTCAGTAACTTTTAATTAAATGTAGTGGTCTCACCTTCTTAGGTTCTCCAAGAGGTCCTTTACAGTCTGAAAAATAGGAAAAAATGTATTACGATTGCCTCAAGGAACAAAGAAATTTCAAATTACACTTAACTACCTCAGTATAGATTTTCACATAATCCTGATTACGTCATATGCAGCACTTTCTACACCTTAATAAAAGTGGACCAATTTATGCACTACCATTGTTCTTGAAAACATTAATCTCTACAAGTCACCTTTTTTCAATCAAAAGATATTCAGGGAGTCTAACATTGTCAACATTTTCCATGTTTAATAAAAAAACTGTGATTGCTGTTTTCTCATCTCTACACCTATTCATAGCCACACAACCGAGCAGAATTAAAGATACAGATATTTGACATGGATTATTACCTAAAGTAATCAGTTTGTCCTGACCTAATTCTAGCAAATTTAACTGTCAAAAGGTGCATTTAACTAGTCAATATTTGATTTATATATCAGTTATTGTTTTAAACAAGTAATTGTGTATCTTAAGTCTGAAAGATTTTTGTTGACAAACTATGTATGATGTTGTAATGTATGTATGTCTCCCCTCAGTTTCAGTATTTACTGACAGCTTGATAAAAATGTAAATCTGAAGTGATGTACAGTATTCTTTGCACCAATATAAATGGAGGAAGTCATGTTTTACTTCCTTACATTCTTCTACAGTAATTTCACAGTAATAGAGACAAGTAAAAACATTAACTTCTGACAGTGAAGCTTATCTCAATAAGTGTTCTATGACAGTACCTGAAGTGTAACATGGTATTTATCGATGGCTGCATTTGAGGCATTTTTCTCTGTGTGAAGTCTTACAATAAGCAAAGCCATTCTGAAATTAATAAGACACTGCAAAGGAGTAGATGATAATGTAATTATTTGGTTTAATAATCCACTTACTGGAACAGTCTGAAACACAAATGTCTTTATGTTTTTCTGCATGAAGCATATTGTCAGGGCAGAAACATCCAGATACGAATTCTTTCAGATACTCCCCAGATTTACGTTCTCTAGAAACAGAGTATATTTATGATTAAATTAAAAATGTAAGCAACATGGCAGTAATGCAAATAAGACTACGTGGCATTTTATATGAAATAACATATAACCTGTGACCTCTAGTAGTTCAAGTAGGTAGCAAAGGAACAAGTAATAGGTTTATTCCATGCTGAAAAAAAGAAGAAAGAGAACACAACGTTTCGGCCGTGGAGCCTTCTTCATGTGTAAGCCACCTGTTCAAGTAGGTAGCTGCATCAGCATGCGTAGGCTGCATAGGAACAAGTAAAGCTTTATTCCTTGCTGAAAAGAGAAGAAAGGAAACAACTTTTCAACTGTGGAGCCTTCTTCGCTCACAACCGAAGAAGTCTTCACAGCTGAAACGTTGTTTCCTTTCTTCTCTTTTCAGTATGGAATAAACCTTTACTTGTATCTGCGACCTTTGTTCTCTCCAGCCAAGTCAAGTTGTAGAGCATCAAAAAGATGTTTGCGGTTGAATTAAATAATATCTTAGATAAATGCTGATATTTCACTTAAACAGATAACACAGGTATATTTAAGTATGTTATATGGTAACCTTCAACCATTTTTTTCAGAAACTTCTAGCCTGCTATCTCCAATGTATGTTTTTTTTTTATTTAATGTTTTTGAAATTAAGTAACTCAATAATGAGCACTTGATTGTTTGAAAATTATTTTCCATGAATGATCCCTAACCAAACTGATAGATTTTAAGCATGCCTGCAAAGAATAGTGGAAAAAAATATAATTAAAATCACCATTTTGTTGTGCAATGTTTGTAGAGAATTTTCCAAAATGATTCACATACTGTACCAAATGTAATTTAAAAACATATTACTCAGGTAGGGATTCCTCATGTAACAAACATATTTAAAGTTTGGATTTTTCTTTGCAGTTTTTGCTGACATGTAATGAATCTTAAATGAAAAAAATCACTTTAAATATATTTGCATTTCAACAAATGTGGACAATATTGTAAATACTTTTGCAATTCACTGTAATTATTATAAGTATAAAACACTTACTGTAAGAGCATGCTTATACCTGATGATTCAGCAGCTAGTATCACAGAGTGAAAAAACGGGTGTGGGGGAACCAGGTGTGGGCTGCATTGATTTTAATAACAATAATGATAATTGCTTACACTTATATTGCACTTTTCTGGATACTCCACTGAAAGTGCTTTACAAGTAATGGGGACTCCTCTCCACCATCACCAATGTGCAGCATCCACCTGGATGATGCGATGGCAGCCATTGTGCGCCAGAACGCTCACCACACATCAGCGATCAGTGGGGAGGAGAGCAGAGTAATGAAGCCAATTCATAGATGGGGATTATTAGGAGCCATGCTTGGTAAGGGCCAATGGGAATCTTGGCCTGGACTGTATTACAGAATTTAAATTTTGTTGATTGGCCAACAACACCCTAGTGTAGTTTTACACCTTATTGTCTGTGCTTCTTCGTCTGATCAAAGGCCTTCTTAGCACAGACACTGGGCACTTACCGCACCACTCAGAAGTTGACATATTGGGGTTGCTAAATAGGTTTGAATGTGCCTGTTATCAAAACAGGAGGTCCTAGAAACAAGGTGTGACTGAACAATGCATGGTTACACCTGGTTATTTGAATACTGCCATTTGCTGAACAATCCCTGGGCAGTTATCCCTCTCCACACCCAAAACATCACAGGTTCACTGCATTTCCCCTAGAGGAGTCAGGACCCTTGTTAAGAAGGCTTCAGAAAACCCAAAGGGCTCAAAATTTGACACTAGGGACTGGGAGCATCAGAAGAAGAACCCAGCATCCTCACCCCCCCCCACCAGTATTTCTCCAAGTCCAGTTTTGGGTAGTCCAGGACACATTGTTCAGGATGCTGGAACTGAGGAGGATGCCTGGAACTTCATTGTTTGTTCACTGTGCCATGAAGAGGCATCACAGGTTATCAACTGGATCTGATTCCAGAAAATAATGCTGCTGGTCTTTTCCTCTGTGACATTTGGATTTGGTAACTGGGGTCCAATGACATACTTGTGCTGGTCTTGAATGTGTGTCCTTTGGAGTTATCTTAATTCCTTAATTGAATCCCTGCCTATATTTGCAAAGGTAATTTTGACACAAACAATTGATGTACTTACGTCCCTTGACAATAACCATCTGTGGTATTGCGACATTCATGGAAAACTGTTCCATTTGGGCATTTAAGATCTGAAACAAAAAAACGCTTATTAGAACATACTAATATTATAATAAATCCAATAAATAAAGGTTAATTTAACTAAATTAAACTATTTGGAAATAGGGGCTATGCATATATTTGGTTATTGCCATATATTTAGTTATTGCTTATTGTTTCTTCTATGTATGAATAATTAATACATTCATTTGCACAAAAACACATTTTTTTAAATTATACTTTTGTTGAATTCCATGCAATTATTAAAAAAATAAAAACACTCTGGGCATGGATTACTGTGTATAAAATAGTACATTCACACAACGTTATACCTTATAAGGCTTATTATGTACTTTATATTTACTGCATAAAGATTATTTAACAGCTGCTGAACATTCAGAACACTATTCAATTAGTCATTACAGGTCAGTTCTGTTAGTCAGGTCTGTATGACAAGAACTGTGGGCCAGGGTACAGTAGGCCACATGCTGACTTGTGTTCTTAGATTTCTATACCAACTTTAGGTTGTGCAACACCAGAAATAAACTGGGTTATTCCAAGAAAGGATAACGAAACCACTCTTTATACAGTTACAGATAAGAAGACAACCCATGAAACATGTTCAAAATCGTGATTAAATACAAGTAACAGGTGAAGGATTGGTCCAAGAGATCTGCTTGCTGGAGGTTCCCTCTCTCTTACCCATACAATGAAAACATATCCTATTGGTGGATCTCACCTTTTTACGGGCCAAACTATGGCTTTGGTGCATCTCATTGTTGAACAGAAACTTGATCCACCAGGCAAATGAAACACGTTTGTTGTATTTTGGTGCATTATTTAGAAGAGGAATAAAGGTTCTGGTTTAGCATTAGTTTAGAGAGCAGTTTTGGTATTGTAATTTATAAGAAATGGCTTCACAAGTCTTGATATTTTATAAAAGGCTGGACTTGGGTTCTAAACCTTGATGCAAATATCAGTCTGTGTATTTAGTTCATTTTGAGAGACAAGACAAAGAAGCCATGTCCAACATTTTCTTATGAGTACAGTGTATTACTGTGTAACATTTTAAAATGTTTTTGCTAAGCAAGCAGGTATAATGACTCACTTTCTAGATCTAATTTTAATCTAATTTATTTACACTACACTTTTCCATCCATCTATGCATTTTGGTTTGATTCCCAGCAAATGTTCAGGTTAACCTTTTAACAAACTGCCCTTGGGGATAATAAAGACTCTTTCTCTTATAAAACAATATGTATACTATATTAACATTTTTATTAATTTCATATATTACAGTATGTCATGTCATGTCATTTGCCAAACCACTTTATACCATATGGTAACGCGGGAATGAGGAGTCTACCCGGCTGGAGTTGCTCTAGCAAGCAACGAGCGCAAGGCAAGGTACAACCTGGATGGGGCGCCAGTCCATCGTACATTTTACAGTACGTTAAAGATTAAATTAATATTATTGATAAAAGTAGCAGTAACACAGATGAACCTTCATAGAGTTACTGTAACAAACGTGACACCCTGGAACTATTTCACAAACCAAGATTATTCAGTGGCATATACTAAAAGTAGTTCATTTTATAGTCTGTTGTGATTGAATGAATGGTTTACATATACATTCAAATAATTTATATCTTGTCTTAATGCTAATTTAAGTAACAATGTTACTTAAAATATGCAATAATATATTCCATAATGCCAAGAATATATACAAATATGCATTAGATTTATTATAAAGTCACCATTGTCCGATCTTTTCCCTACTCTGAACTCAGAACTTTGCAAAGGTGTTTTTATAATGTAAATCAACCAAGAAACCAAATTTTCTCATGGACCATTGGCTGCCATTAAAGTAGTTCTCAGCACGGGCATATCATTTTTTTTATATATGAGGTGTCAGTGACACTAACATAAAACAATGATGCTAAGATTGCAGCCAAAAAAAATCATGAAAGCTAGAACTCTGGCTATTTGACAAAGCAACTTAAGTGCAAAACTCTTCAGTCATCTGAGAAGAATATGGTATTCTAATAAATGTGCTCCTCTACTAATGTGCTGTATTTATGATGCTCCTTTCAGTGTCACTAAATGTATCACTGCTGCAAACCAGGGCAACCAACCAAATACAGCTAACACATTTCTCTTAAAGAAATACACCACCTATTTTTGGAGATAACAAATGATACAATGCATATTGGTTACACTATACCAAGATACACGCATGACATATTTCATTGCAAAATGTTGATATTACAATTGTTAGAAACAATAGCAATTGTGTTTGTATGAAAAATACTTTTGAAAAGTAACCACTTGACATAATAACAAAGCTTTATGTTACATGCTGGGCAGATGTCCTTTATGAAGCCTGCCATATACAAGAGGAAAATAAAATGTAAGTATAGGAGTTAATGAAGTACTAATAAGGAGAGAAAAAGTCCTAATCCTATGTGTAAGTTTATTTTTTATATGTTTTTCCTCATAACACCACAATGCTGTTGCATAGAGCTAACATTCTTGGAGAAAGATTGTTTTAGATAAACCATATGTACCGTATGTTGTCACAGTGAAAAGCAGAGCTCAAGAGCTCTCCTAGAACTAACCTCCTTAGTTTACATTAACATATAAGCTCACAGTCCAAGCAAAAACTCTCTCCGCACCCCATTTATTGTCCTTGATGTGTGAAGAAGCACAAACCTAAAGAGCAATAATGAATTTACCACAAGATCTCACTGTTTTTATTGCTTTATTTGTTGTAGTGAATCCTGCTTTTCTAGTTTAAATTGTGTCAATCTGCAAATGTATGTTCATGCTTAAGAACATAATGGTCAGGTAAAGTATAATGTATACTACAGCATGAACTGATTCACTGAAATTCTCATGATATCAAATCCCTCATTTTTCATATAGTGTCTTTGGTTCTCCTCCTTCACTTTTCACACTCTTCACTCTGCAAGAGGTCCCAGCCTCCTTGTCCTCAAAAGGGGGAACAGGGAGGTGGGAGATGTGAGCACATTGTTTCAAAACATTACTAATTTTAAATGTTTGTACTTTATTGTCATTTTAATGCCATTTTGTTATTTTAGATTCTAATCCTAAAAATATATATTATACATAGTAGCTTTAATGATTAGCATTTAAAGACAAATATACACATGAAAATGTGTATACACATGTTTAAATTCCCTTACTCTCTCCAAGAATCCAGAAGATTGTTGGTCTGTCTAGTAGCACTGGTTTTTACTACCACCATTGACGGTATTTGTATGTTTGCTAACTCATTAATGTTCATTCATGTTAATCATCTATCATTGATATTATTTTAATATTTAACATACTGTGATATATAAAATAATAAAAT